GAAAATGCTGAGGTCTTGTTGGTTGGGTCTATTTTTAGTGACACTTAGCAGGTGAGCTGAGGTGAGAATCCTCTTCAGGTAATGGTTATTTGATGCTAAGCATAACATACCATGGCTTATGTAAGATCAGGTTAGTCATATTATGTTTTCCTGGCGCAGCTTCCAGGAGATGAGATTAGTTCAGCATCCTCTGTCTCAATCTGACATGATGTTTGTGCTCTGACCACAGTAATCTGAAAGCTACATCACAGAATGTGCAAATAGGGAATTAATGTGAAGTTCTGCACAGCTAGCTGCTGCTCTCTGTCTTTTCAATCAATTCACACATTTTTAAAATAACATTATATCTCTTCACCGTTGTCTCTCTGCTCTGGCAGGCGGTTCAGATACAACGGTCTTAGGTGGAGCCCATCAATTCGGCATATCTGGCCCTCACCTAGAAATTACTCCTACGCTTGCATTATTCTCTGGTTTAACCCAGTTATACTTGTATACTATTACCTCTCAGGAACATCCATCCATCCATTTTCTGAACCGCTTATTCCTAAATTGATTCTAAAAGTCTTCAGCTGTAAATCCAGATATCCGATGCTATCTCTGAGCTTCAGAGTTTTCCTGGAAACAGGCAATTACTACATGCACTCTATTTCACAGTCCTAGGTACCCAGGCTCACCATGGGCCCTTACCTACCCGCACCTTCACCCTGTAACCCTCTTAAAGACATGCAATACAGACTGCATTTGTAAAAGGAACAGACAAACAACCACTCACACTCATATTCACTCCTAGTGGAGGGTCCAATTAACCTAGCATGCATGTTTGTGAATGGTGGGAGGAAAGTGGAGTACCTAGGGATTTGAACCTGAAGCCTTCCTGCTGTGAGGCGATGCTAACCAGCACACCACCGTGCCACTGTTTCATTCTTTTAATTCTTTACTTAGGATTCATTTGAATTTTCAATTCAGTTTTAATTAGGTTTAAGCGCAAATTCAAACTGGAAGACTCAGCCTAGCCTCTCCTGCTGCATCCAATTATCTCATCATGCACCTCTACTCCAGCCACACACCATCAAGTTACCATCCCTCTTCAGCCAATCATCCTGTAAAGCGTTACCTTTAAAGCCCTCTATTCATGGACTCTACTGCTATTTAGCTAAGCTTTGACCCTCCTCCTTCATGCTCTCATGACGCCTTCCGGCTTCCTTCTCCACCATATGTGGATTCCAGGGGAAGACATCTCTAGTCCTAATCCTACAATGGTCACTCAAGCTCATTACCATTCACAGATTCCACATCGTCTGCTGGGGGCCAAATAACTCTCTGATTTATCAATACATTTCTAATTACCATTTTTTTCTGTGTGAGTCTTTCCAGTTGAATTCATATTGCACCAAATCACAAAAATCTGTTCTTAAGGCTCCTCAAAAATAAAGGCTAATTTAAAACAATTTCACAGGCCAGTAGCAGTGTAACTATGAGTTGATTTAGGGTCACCAGAGCCATACATAACTCTAAGCTTAATTAAAAGGAAGGGTTGAAGCCAAATCTTAAAGATAGAGATTTTGTTGCTATAGACATGCAGCTTGTTCCACAAGAGAGAAATAACTGATAACTGAACTCTTGGACCCACAAGTAGACCTTCAGTCTGTTGGAAAAATATCTTATGAGGTCTAAAGCCATGAGATTCAATTGTCAATCTCATGGTTTTAAATTCTGTAGTTAATTTCTATTTCTATTCAATTGTTAATTTCTCAAATCTAAAATATATAAAACACAAGTTGATGGTTTAGAAAATGTTATTGCTTTGGTTGTGCTTAGCAAAATCACATTGAGAAGCTGCTGTGAAAGCAAGTTTTATTATGGCCGAAGATCGCCAAACCAGGACAGCAATTCACCTAGATGGAGTTTGGGAAGAAGTGCATGATGAAAGTGTTTGACGTTGTTTGTCCATATGTTAGCAAATATCTGTGCGAGCAGCTGTTCTCTCTGAGGAAAATTAGAAAACGTCACTGTCACGAAGGTGCCCTGGTGGAGGGGTTTTTCGTATCGTCTTTTGCTAGTCTCGTCATTTCCTGTTTTACTTTGAAGAATAACCCTCATCTCGTTTCAGGTCACTTGCACTTCCTGTTGTGTCACCAGTCTGAGCGTCTCCCTGATTACCTATTGTCTGCACCTGGGCATCCCTTCCCTCTCGTGTTCAAATAGTCCTCGTCTCCCCTTGTCCTGTGCCAGTGTGTTTCGTTCCCAACCACAGAGCCTGTCTTGTCTTTAGCCCTCGTCACAGTCATAGCCCTTGTTCCTTGCCTTCTGAGCCCCTTAGTTTTTGCCTCTGCCACGAGTGCGTCTTTTTCCTCCTAGAAGTAACATTCCTAGTGAGTATTTCTGTTGCTACTTTTGTTTCCTGTCCAGCCTCCTTAGTGAGAGATTTACGTTGTTACTTTTCAGCTTTGTTTTGTAACTTTTTCCCGGCCTCGGTTCGAGTGCTTTTTCTGTTAATACTTTGTCCTCCGTTACGGAGCGCTTTGTGTTTGTGTTTTGCCCTCTCATTCGAGAGCGCCCTCTGTTAATAAATTTTGTATTTTTGAACCCACTCTGCGCCTGAGTCCTCCTGCGTCCACGGCCGTGACAGTCACTCAGGAGTAGCCTCACTGATGAACACCTGCAATCCATCCGGACCCCAAACATAAACTTACTTGTTGCAAATAAAAGACTCCAAGTATCAGGCTCTGACTAAATAGGACAATAAAATGTAATGATTTGTTATGATTTACCCTTTACTTTAAATTTTCAAAGTAAAGTTTTAAATGTAATATTCCAGTATGTACAGATTTTGAATGTATATATTATTGAAGGGATATTTTATTCATTTTGGAGTGATATCCAGTATTTTTATTCATATTAATGGTTAAAAAACATAAATATTTAGTCTATTCAATAAATGTTTATACTGTTCCCGCAACATTAGGTGTGCTTTGAGTTTCACCCCCCTGTGCAATTGGGTTTGACATCCCTGATCTAAACAGTCTGTATACAAAACAGGTTCTAGAGTCAATTCTAAATTTCATATAATGATACTTCAGTGACAAGAGTGGAACATGTTCCATGAATCTGCTACTGGAACAACATTTTATTGATAAAGAAGCTTATCACCTCATAGTGGTCAGGTCACAGGGGCACCAGCTGAAGCAGGGAAACCTAGACTTTCCCTGCTTCTGCCAGCTCCTCCAGGGGGATCCCAAGGTGTTCATAGGCCAGCCGAGAAACATAGTCCATCCAGAATGTCCTAGCTCCTCCTCTGGGTCCTGTGGGTTCCGGATGTGCCCTGAACACCTCACCAGGGAGGCGTCCTAATCAGATGCCCGAGCCACCTCAACTGGTTCCTCTTAACATGGAGGAGCAGCGGGAGAGCCCAGAGATCATGCAGAAGGAACCCATTTTGGCCATTTGTATTTGCGAACAAGACCCCAAGATACTTGAACTCCTCCTCTTGGGTAAGGACATCCCCCCGATCCAGTGAATGCACTCTACCCTTTTTTGGTGTGAGACCATGGTCTCGGATTTGGAGTAACTCATCTTCATCCCAGCCCATCACACTTGGCTGCAAACTGCTCCTGCAAAAGTTGTAAATCGCAACTTGAAGCCCATAGGACCACATCATCTGTGAAAAAGCAGAGATGGAATCCTAAGGCCACCAAAACGGATCCTCTTGATCACCTTGGCTGCACCCAGGAATTCTGTCAATTATAGTTATGGAAAGAGCCGTTGACAAAGGGCAACCTTCTTGGAGTCCAACTCACAATGGAAACGTGTCAAACATACTACCGATGATGGGGACCAATCATCAGGGGCCTAACAGCTCGTATCAAAGGGCCCATACTCCCAGAGCACCC